ACACGCCGGAACTCAAGGGGAGGGGGATGTCACCGTCCCTCACCTGGGCCGTCCCCAAGAGGCCCAACAGCCAAAGAGCAGTAACCGGGCTCGTCGCAAGAGTGCCAAGTTCCAGGGCCCAGAATGGGCGTGTAACTGTTGTGTTGCCCTGAAAGGGGAGTAGTTGAGCGTACAGTAGATAAGGGAAGGAAGAAGAGAGACGCAGGGCATCATCCAATTTGTAAGAACGTATTTGAGAAGGAACCGGGACCTCGTTGGTCCGCGGCGGCAGAGTTGCCGAAGTGAATTGAGTTATAGTCGCCGGAGAGAGAGTTGGTTGTTAACACTGGGCTCCCAGAGTTTTGTGCGGTCCCTCGGAAGGATTGGAAGAAGACGACCCAACGGTGGAGCAGGAGGTAAACAAAAAGAAAAAGTAAGGGCATTATGATCTTTTGGTTTATTTTGTCTGTGAGGTAGAGCTATTTTACTGAATAGTTTTTTTAAAACAATTTAACTTCAACAGAAAAGTTGCTCGTGAAGTTGTTTTCGAGGCAAAGCTGAGCTGTGCCAGGGCCCTAATTTTACATTTTGAAGAGGAAATCAAGACTCCGAAGATAATCGAGGAAGGTAATAAATAGGAACATTTTTCTCATGGAACCCCAACACTAAATTTGGATTCACTTGAGCGATTGATTTATCCGAACAGAATTACTATCTTCTAACCGGTTGTTTCTGGCTGTCTCAGCAACCGAATTTGTGATTGCTGAGTGTGCTGGGGCGTCTGATCTCGCGCTCTGTGGCTTCTCTGTCGCCGCCCGAAGCCTCTGCGAGCCGCCGCCGCCCCACGCCGGCCGCTGCTCCCTTCGACGGCCGGGCGTCCCCGGCGCGCGGGCCTCTCCCTCCGACGGCGCGCTGCCACTCCCTCATCCTCGCCCGCTTCGCCCGCAATGAGTTCAGCCTCGGCTCCAAGGCCACCATCGGCGTCGAGTTCCAGACCCGCACCCTCGTCATCGACCACAGGAGCGTCATGGTCCACATCTGGGACACCGCCGGTCAGGAGAGGTACCAGCAGCCACCGCACCCGTCCGCCTCGCCGCTCTGCTCCCGATCCTCTCCGCTGCTTTACTCACTGGTCTCTGGCGCAAATAATGCTCCTCGATCCGTTCCTCTTGCGCATTAGATCTCTGTGGACTGTAGCAGTAGCTCAAACGTTGAGCGCAATGGTGGATCTCTGCTAGGTGATTAGATCCGGCAACTCTATGCTTATTATTTTCTTAGGAATTTGTATTTTTTTGTAATTTGTGACAAATTTATGAAGAATTTGACATATATTTTTCTGCTATCTAAAATCCATACAAAAACTTGTAATTTTTTTTGAAAAAATTGGCATATATTTGTTTGAGATATGCAATTATTCTCAAATTATATTATTTTGTCCAATAAATTACACTAAAGAAATTATTGTAAATATAATAATAAAATAATATAAATATAGCTATAAGACAGTGTAAGTGTACGTCCAAAACCTGGTCATTGGGGGCTAAAACAACACAATTCCATTCCAGCGGTTGTTCACTGGTTTCTATTCCAGCGAACGATCCGACTGAAACCAGTCCACATGTCTCCACCATACGGCGTGCTACTGTGGCTGCATTGCATGGCGTGGATTCGCCGCGGTATTTCTTGACCGTAAATAAAAGAAATGGTAACTACCATACATGCATGTTTGCACATCTCTTTAAACTACTACTAACTGCATGTGCATCCATCTTTCTCTTTTTTTTTTGTTTTCTACTTTTTCTTTTTCTTTTTTATTTTTTTATACAAGTTATTTCGTACATAGTTTTGTATTTCTGTTAATATATTATGATATTAATTTATATGTCTAAGTTGATGAACATAACTTATACGTCTAACTTTACATATAAGTCATTCGTCATATTATATATCTAAGTTATACTAGCAATAAAGCAAGTTATACAAATAACTTTCCTTTTTCAGAAAATTACTAAGTTACGCACATAACTTTTTACCACAACTTTTACAATATAACATTTTGCAGCGTTGGCAAGTTGTATAGAATAAACTTATGTACATAAACTATAGTATAATTTATGAACATAAGTTGTGTTTCATAACTTTTGTACATAAGTTGTGTATAAATATGTTCACATAACTTTTATACTAAGTTATACACATAACATATATTCACAACTTTGAGAATATAACATTTTGTACATAAGTCGTGTTTCATAATTTTTGTGTTTCTAAGTTTTAGTATAAGTTACAAGTTAATTTGTTCCTTTTGTGTTTAATAACTTTTGTGTTTCTAAGTTTTGGCATAATTTATAAGTTAATTCGTTCATTTGTGTTTAATAACTTTTGTACATAAGTTGTGTTTCATAACTTCTGCGTTACCAAGTTTTTGTCATAAGTTGTATTTTATAAGTTAATACACATATAAATTGCTATTAAAATAAAATTCTTCTAAACATTGACAAGTGGGGTCTAGTTTTATTCGTCTCGTCACGTAGAACACACCCCGGTGCAAACGGAAAAATTTATACACCATTCAGAAGTTATAGCAATTTAAAATAAATATTTCACTTTTTTCTAGCTTACGTCCCATAACGTCACATCCAGCTAAGATTGGGTGGGCGCATGTAGCGGTTCCCTTGATTCGCTGCTAGCGCGCGCAGCCGAGCACCCCAAAATAGAATGAGCACGCAAAGAGGTGGGAATTATTTTTTCTTAAAAAGGAAGTTGCGGTCTGTCCGAATATTGTTCGTGGGTTTTAAATCCAAAGAGCGTTCGCGGATTAGCTGCCCTCCTCAAACAACCAGTTGTTGGCTAACGCGGTGGCGCACACTTGGTCGTCCAACGGTGGCAACTAGTCCGTGAAGACGAACTGGAGCAGGGCTTTGAAGAAGACGGCCTTGAGGCCCTTGATCCATCTTTTTTTTTTATCCATCTTATCTTCTTGTCCTTGTTCTTGCTCTTCTCCACCTCCGCTTTCTTCACTCAGAGGGCCAGCGCCCGCTCGTGCGTGCGCGCTTGAAATTCGCCGTCCTCCAGCAGCCACGCGATGGTGCCAGGAGATGCTGGGCGGCGGCACCACCATCATGCCTGGGCAGCAGGAGCGCGGTGGTCGTCAACTCGTCATCTTGTTGGCCACCTGGAACTCGAAGCTGCACTCCACCGTGTGGCTGTTGTCGTGACCCATGACTCCATGAGAGATGAGACATGAATTGGTCAGCTTTCTATATCCTTCGCGTGGTTAATCGTTGGTGTACCTGTGCCAGAAATCAGCCATGAAGTTTTCGCCCTTGCAGTGCAGTACGCCAGTACCTGTGCCAGAAACCAGCCATGAAGTTTTCGCCCTTGCAGTACCTGTGCCAGAAATCAGCCATGGATGGGGTTCCGCCCTTGCAGCTGCCAATGCAACAACGATGGTTCCCTACGCCTCCAAGACGACAGCAAGATCAATGGGAGTCGCCACCTACAGGATGACGGCTACGTAACCCACGTGTTCGTCGTAGTATCTCGACAGGTAGTACAGGATGCGCCACTTGACCGCCCACCTCGAAGGCGCCGGAACGGATAAACTCGCCGTTGCCGTGGGTCCTGCGCACGACGATGTGGCCCAGGATGGTAAGCTGGTGCGTGCCTCTCCACACCGACGCGCTCCGGACGACGTCCGTGCATACGCGTTCCCACATCTTCTCGCACATGAGCCGCGTAGCCTGGCCATGCCGTACAAATCCGCAGCCATCAGTAGGTCCTGCATGCGCCATGGCTGTCTTCTTGCCGCAGCCGTCGATGTCGTCCGGGGGCAGCTCATCTCTGCTTCCGATCTTCATGGGCCTGCTGCCGCCGATAGGGTCGTCGATGCTGAAGCTCGCCATCGCCGTGACAGAGTCGTCGTAGTCCACATGGCCATTGTCGACGTCCTGCGCCAGATCGAAGGAGACGTCGAAGCTGCAAATGACGGTCCAGTCACGACCGGCGACGCGGAAGGTGCCGGATGTGACGGAGTCGCCGAGTGCCTTGAGGCGTAGCCAATGACGTCGAACAGGTGCGTGCGTGCCATGCAGGAGCGCCGCCCGGTGCGTCGACGCCGTCTCCGCCGCCATGTGATCTGTTGCTTCAATTTGATCGCAGGATTGGATTGGGTCGATCCATCGGCTTCGACTCAACCTACTCGTTGACGCCACCCGATACTGCTATATTACTAGCCTACCGGCCGATTTGGTCCACGCTGGCAAAAAAAAAAAAACAGCCTGACATGGTAGAATGGACCTGCAGTGAACGGATAATCAAAGTTTAAGAGTCCAGAAATACAATCTTCAAGTTCATAGATCTATATGGCACACCCAAACAAGTTTGTGGACATACAGTGTATTTAACTTTTTTATTTATTCGACCATTTCTACCTTTATTAAAAGGCTAAATTTCGTTCCAGACTTGACGAACAATTTTGCACGCACAATGGCTGGATCAGGGCTTTCCTCTTATAAGCACATAATAGCGTGTTGTTACATGCAGCACAGTAACCTGCCACATTTGGCGTTAACAAGACTCGTGGGACGGCCGCAAACTAACTGGCCTATACCCTGCCAAACCCACTCGTCTCTAGTGGTAGCTTCCGACCGGGACTCTGCTCTTCTCCCAAACGCAGTAGCCGTCGCCGTGTGCAGCGACACTGAAACCCGACGGGATCAGACTGCCGACGTCGTACCTCGGCCCGATCTTGGTGATAACTTTGTCGTCGATCGTGGCGACATAGACATCGCCTTCTGCTTTTACGATGCTTAGCTTGCTCCCCGGATGGATCCCGTTTCTCTTCCTGATCGCTGCCAGCGTGCTGATCTCCTGCTTCAGGTTCCAGTCGAACACGTGGTCGTAGAACTGCATCGATCGAGCACATTATACGGTTAGCTAGCTAGTTAGCTACCCTCGCAGTAGAGTCAAAAAGGTTAGCTAGCGATCGATGAAATGCTAATGCCAGTTGCGTTGCTCACGATGGACGGGATCCCTGGGTGGGTGAGGATGTAGGCGTAGCCCTGCATGACCTTGTCACGGGGGAACGGCCACGAGTTCTGTGTCGAGCCCGTGTCGTGGTTGTCGATGAACGTGACGGCCTTCTCGGGCAGCCAGCCGATCATGCCGGGCGCCTTGCCGTTGCCGTCGCGCATCCGCCACAGCTCCCCCTGCACTGCCGCCTGCAGCACGCCCTTGGTGGTGAAGTCGAACGCGGCGGCGGGACCGCCCACGGAGTTCGCCCAGTCCACCAGCTCCTGTCGGTCCCCGTCCTGGTTGTGCTTCGGCTTGCCGTCGCCGTCGTAGCTGAGGGAGCTCCATATCTCCGCGACCACGAAGCTCGGCCGGGTCCGGTCGACGTACGCCTTGGCGACGGCCGCGGAGTAGCCCTTGGCGAAGTCGAGCCGCCAGCCGGTGAAGCCGACGTCGGCGCTGAGCCAGTTGAGCCAGTCCGAGAGCTCCCGCTGCACGCGCTGGTTGAGGTGGTCGATGTCCGGCGCGGCGCCGAAGTCCTTGCCCGTGTCGCGGTTGCCCCGCCCGTTGGAGAACTGCGTGTCGTCGCTGCAGATCATGTCGGCGTCCCAGTTGAGCCGCCCCCCGCCGTCGAAGCCGGCGCCGCCCTCGAAGATGCAGTACACGCCGCGGCCGTCCTTCTTGTCGGCGCACCGGTGGTTGATGACGATGTCCGCCACGGCCTCGATGCCCTTGCCCCGGAACGCCGCGATCAGCGACCGCAGCTCCGCCTCGGTGCCGTACCTCGACGCGTTCAGGTCGTAGAGCCGCCCCGGCATGTAGCCTGCACGCACGCAGTTTGAGCAGTCAGTAGTGGTAGATAGATACTGTAATTTCAGTTGCTGAATTCGTTCGTTCTTGCTGCAGGTTCGTCGTCCGAGAGGGGTAGCAGGTAGCGGCGCACCTTGCGGCGAGACGGAGTGCGATGGCGGCGGCAGCCAGACGTGGGTGGCGCCGGCATTGGCGATGTCGTCCACCCGTGCCTGGAGAAACCTGTACCAGCCGCCTTGCTTCTTGCAGGACTCCCAGTTGAACCCCTGCGGCGCAGGTACGCGTCGTCGATCAGCAAGAATGCATGTGCATGCATGCATGGAAAAAGACGTTCTCGATCACGCACGTACCTGGAACAGGACCTGGGCTCGTGCCGTGTTGGAGCCAAGCAAGCACAACCCCGCGACAGCTAGGAGCCCGAACAGGGCGGCCAGGTGCTGCGCCATGCCGGCGGGCGGGACTCGTGTCTTTTGAGTCAGCAGCAGTGTGTGCGTGCTCTTCTGGTTCTGGACGTGTACGAGATGGAAGTTGGAAGTGAAGTGAGCTGCCAAGGCCGTGGCCATGTTGTATTTATAGGGGTCACAAAATGTGGATATACTTCAGATCAGTGGTCCAAAATCCAAATGTTTGGATAAGTCGTCGTCGATCGTGATAACGACGGAAGAAGCTTTGTACGTATTCGTCTGGGTTGATCTACTACCGATCGACGTACATTTAAGACGGAGATGAACGTTAGCCGGCACGTGTCTCGGCCCTGGCACGCACGCCGAGGGACCGGGAGCATATCGCTCTGGGTCGCCGACTCGCCGGTCGCGTGCGAGAACGACGACGAGCTACGAGCGCGCACGGTGCACGCAGCGAACTGACCCCGCATCCGCATGCATGCCATGGCATGGATGTGGCTCAAGCTCACCGGTGACTGGCGTGGCCGTCGGAATGGATAGGGAGGTTGTCAACCGTATCCAGAACCTGATAGAAGAGCAAGAGACTGAAACCAGAATTTCAGGCGTGTGTCTTATTTGAGCACAGTCTGAAAAGAATATCACGCTAGAGGTAGCTAACCCAGTTACCTCTTACTGTCCGAACTCCGAAATAGACACTGGTATCATGATCCTTATCCAGTAATTTACTTGGCATTTTGTGCTACAGAAGAGTATCGCCCAAGGAACGGAAATGATACATCACGCCCATCCGTCCACACCCGCGTCCACCGCACGCCCCGCGCCTCGCCACCCGCGTGCCCTTGCTCGCTCCCGCCCGCGCCCTCATCCACCTCGTCCGTCACGGAAGGGACGCGGGGAGACCTGCGCCTGCGCCTAGGGAGGCCTACGCTCGCGCCTCCATCCATCTCGCGCCATCGGCAGGAAGGGGAGGCCTGTGCTACAGCAGTTCCCTATCAGGTAGGCCGTGACCGTCGGCGACGCTGTGTTTTAGCCGTTTTTGGACATGTTGCAAGCTTGTGTTTCAAGTGTTTCAGTTATTTCAGACGTATGTTTCAAGTGCTTCATCTAGATGTTGCATATGTTGCTATGACGATACACGCATGTTTCAAGCGTACGTTTCAGATGTTTTCAGACTTATGTTGTAAGTGTTTAATCTGGACATTGCAAAAGTAGATCCGGATGTTCCATATGTTGCTATGGCTATACATGCATGTGTTCAAGAATATGTTTCAAGTGTTTCATCTATTTTCAGACCTATGTTGCAAATATTTTATCTGGATGTTGCATATGTTAAAAATTGTTACGTTGCAAGTGTATGATCCGAATATTTCATCTGTTACAGGGATATGTTGCAATTGTTTCATCTAAGTGTTGCAAAAGTAGGGGCCTGTTTGGAACGTAGGAATTTCATAGGAATCTCGCAGGAATTTCACAGGAATCCGTTGAATTTCACAAGAAAAATATAGGAATAAATTTTTTTTCCTACAATCCAAACAGGCCCTAGATCTGGATATAAGCGTGGAGGAAGCCTAAGCCATCAGTGGTCCAGCTGTTGCGGCTCCCTGGTGTGGCGAAGATGGAGGCCGTGAACATGAGAGCGGCATGGATGGGATGCCGCGGCAGATCAGTCGGGATGGATGCGAGCGCGGTGCACGGGCTGGATGGGACGCGGGCCTCCATTCTACGTGTGTTTGGCGCAGACAGGAAGGTTGATCCGTACAGTTGCTGCCTTCGGAGCAGGGATGGGCGCGGGTCTAGGTGTGTGTCGGGCACGGGCACGAGAGCAACATCCGGACGTCTATGCGCTAGTCGCTCCAATGAAGGAAACGACCCCTATCTTTCAAGTCCTACAATCCATTTACAATCAGCACGTTAACCGTACGTCGCCCAACTCCCACCTATATGTTTATTTATTAAAAGTAACTACTCCATTTGTTTTAAATTATATGGCTCACTTTAGTGTTCTTATTCTTATATAAATCAAACTTCTCTAATTTTAAAATACTCAAGGGGCACTGGACTTCCTTTGGTGCTCCGCAGTCAACCAGGAACTAACAAGGCAAAGCTAATAAGGCGCGGCGAGCTGTGGTCCGCAACCAAATAGGACCATAATGTGCAAAAGTATATCTATTTGATCACCGTGAGCTACTAAAGTTCCCCGTCTTGTTTGAAATTAACACTGTCAATATTTAACCATAGAAAAGAGTGTTAGTCAACTGTTAAACAACCTGAATCCATGTTTCTCTATGTGTCATGGTTTTTCCTGTCAGCTGAACAACTTTACTTCTTTGGGTCGTTGGAGTTGACAAAGTAATTAGCCACAAGAAATTAATAGTGATATAGTGCCAAGCATTCTCTCCAGAGGCAGGCGGCTAGCAGGGGGCGTGGCCCTCCAACACAGTAAATCTTTGTTAAACATCCCTATAAAGTTTGTTAATTTACAACACAAAAACACGACAATTCATTTATTTTTAATCGTAATATTGTGAAAATGCGATAATTCATCTATTTTTCGTTATGAATACTAACTACACATGTAAAAGCACTAAAAAAGTTGTTGAAATATACACTTATGTGTGTCATTATATTTGTCCGCCCCCCCTTAATCAAAGTTGCTGGTTCCACCTCTGATTCTCTCAATCTTAGCATTTGCAATGTCCAATTTACAATCAAGTCAAATGCTATTCAAGATAACAACACTGGGATTTTTAGAGAGAAGAAAAACTCTGGTGTATCTTTGAAGTGGAACAAATGAATTTAAAATAGAATTATTGAATGACGTTAATGAGTGCCGATCTGTTAATATGGCGAGAGCTATCACGACTGCCAGACCTCCCCGCTGGCCGCTGGTGAGATCCCTCACCTCTTCTTTCATGGCCGGTGTTTCTCTGTTCTGTGAGTCTGCGCCTCTGTCGGTTGCTGTTTTCAGAGGAAGACGACGCTGCATCGCTGCGTGTGCGTGAGCAGATAACGATTGGAGTTGGACACACGCCGCTGGGCCTAATGGGCCGTATTATGTCTAACGAGTAAAGCAATTAAAAGCCCAGGCCCTAGCAGAGGATTCAGTTTCCACTCAGAAAAAATAAAAAGAGCAGAGGATTCAGTTTCTGAGCAGGCAAGTTCCGAGCAAGCGGATTCAGTTTCCCGCCCGCACTCACCAAGGTCTGAGGGCGAGGCGACGATCGAGGATCCTTTGCATCGTTGCGGCAGCCGGCAGGCTACGGACCCGGTGGGCGCTAGCCGCTGCAGAGGATGGTCCACGCCGCCGGTGGGCTGTCCGATGGAGACCGTGATTCTACTGTAATATAGAAGTGGAAAATAACAAAAAGGGAAACAGTGAGTGAATTTACTCCATATAATTGTGAATTTGCATTAGAAATCACTGATCCAACAATCAGTTGTTGTTTAATTTGATGCTTTGATTGCAAATATTCTATGATTGGTAGCTCTGGGCTTGAAGAAACAATTGATGTTACATCTACTAGACTACTACTGCACCTGCACAAAGAGGAATATAATATGACGCAAGTCCAAATGCAAAACAGAAGCAGCTGCTTAGGGACGGTCACAAGGAGGTGAAGCCACAAAAGGTATGTTTCATTTACTAATCACAAGTGTTATCCAATGTTTAATTTCAATTTGTTAGTTACGAGCTGTTCAGCTGATGGTTTCTGCGACTGATAAGTCGGCTGATACTGTTTTGTTGTGAGAGATAAACCGATCTGATAAGTTCAAGCGAACAACGCGTTATTTGATCCTTTTGAAGCCATTGTTTCTTTCTTCGTCTGCCTTTCTTTATGGAAGTGATTATATATATCTATGTGTTGGGATATTTGGTCAGTACGAAATGATGCAATATTCCGGCAAGTCCAACCTTCCATCCAACTTGGCGAAAGGCATTTCAAGATAGACTTTGCTCAAGTTATTCTTAGAGCAACGATTGCCTGTGTAATTTTCATGATTTTCTTTGTTTCATAAGAATGGTGTAAGACCTTTTGCCTTGTTTTAAATAAAACCCTTTTGTTTCCCTCAAAAAACGATGAGTGAGAAATCAACTTTTTGTGCATTTCGAACATCATTTATGAGTTTATGATTTCTTTTCTATACATTCTTCTTTCACTACTGCATTATTGTCTCTTGTTTTCTATATGATTGCTTCGTCGCTTAAATTATTAGTAGAAAGTTTATCATAGGTAGATTTTTATCATAAATCCGTAACTGAGCGTTATTTTTTTAGTGGTAGACGACATGTCTGTTAACAAGGTGCTTACGATGCTTCATAAATCTTGAGATTTGCCGATCCAACTCAATATCTCGAATGTGTCTTTAGTGTTCTTTTTTTTAAAAAAAACTTATGTGAGCCAAAAGCTAGATCATGAAAAATCATTCGACATAGCAAGTGAACGGGAAAGTGTTGTAAAACATACGGAGGAGAAGGAGAAATCCTAATCCTAGTCCGTTTGTATGTGGGCTCTTACCAAACTTTTAGACCTTTACATGACTATATATACGTGGGAGCTCTACATTGTAATGACCAATATTGAGAGGAATAAAGAATAGTCTCCCTATCTCTTGTGTCTATGTGTTCTACTTTTATCTACTATGTTGATCCTGAGAGATGGAGAGGGAAATGTCCTAAAGGCTGGCAAAATATTTTATAACACGTTATCAGCACGACAAGCTCTTCGTCGACATCGTTGTTGAAGCCGTCGCCGTTCTTTGATGCCGGCACTTGTACCGTCGACGTCCCGCCGCAACTACTTCGACGACATCGACATCCCCGACGTTATTAGCGGAACGGATCTGCTACCTCCACATGCAACTAATCTGCACTGTATCGACATGCACTGTCGTCATCCAGCAGGGAGATCTACGACAATTCCAAACGCCCTACGCGGTATGTTTCTACTAACCATTGCCCTACGCGACAGGTGAGGTAGATCAAACTGACATCCTTTGCAAGGTACGAAAGAATCACATCTTCAGATTGATCATAGTGTGAC